TACCCTTGCTTGGGGGTGAAAGTTGTAACGAACCTTTATTAATTTATCCGTTAAGTATCCGATGAACTATTATCTTTTCCTATGTTGGTAATGTAAGCGTTGAACTCTGATTTATTGTGGGTCTGCGTACTAATATCCGACGAACCGTTGATCTACGTCTCTAATCGGCTATAAAAGCTGACCTCCCGCACGGCGCACATAAGATTCAGTAGTGTTGAACGGCAATTTTCCTCAGCACGTAGTCCGCCTCCCCTCTTGGTATTGGTCCCGGTCCTACCAAGGTTCCTTTCTTCCTATCCTTCCGTCTGAGAACAGAGCGTTGGTTCCTGTTCCGCCTGTTCTCAGCGCTCTCCTTTTCCTTCCGTATGAAAACAGAGCGTTGGTTCCTGTCCCGCTTGTTCTCAGCACTCTCCAGATCCTTCAGTCCGGGAACAGAGCGTCGACCATTTTCCCGCCTTTTCTTGGGACCCCATTTCCCTGAAACTCTGAGGGTTGGTTCCCGTCCCTCTCGGAGTTCCTGACTCGTCTGTTTTCCCGAATAGCCATCAACCTGAGTTAAACGCCGAATCGAGGGAAGCTTATAGTTTTCCATTTTCCGAAATTTCACCGAATATTAGTACCGACCGTCACCGATTTGTCAGTGGTTTATTTATTTATTTATCATAAATAAAGAGAGTACATTTATTGGAAGAAGAGGTTTTCTTTTCTAATCAAGACCCCTGGTGTACACTTTTCTCCACTGCTGTTACCCGGACGGCGACTTTTTGTGCTGCCTATTGATCTGATTTGAAGAAATGAAAGAAGAAAAATTGTTTTCCGAAGGTTTTGGCATACACCGAGCACGAAACTGCTGTCGTTTACGTATCTCCAAAACTACCGCTTATTTTGAAAATCCGAGAATTCCAGAGGACTCCTGTGAGCTCCTGAAGTCCGAATCCGCGCTTTACTGCAAAAAGCCGAACTTTGCCGAAGTTTCCCGGAGTCGAGTGAGGCGTTAGATCAAGGTAATTTGAGCCAACGAAACGATTCCGACCACTCTCGAGAAGATCCGACGGTTAACGAACGAGATACGGTAGGCAGAATTGCCGTATCGAGGAATTTTCGAATTCTGAGGGTAGAGCGGTATCCATAAGAAAAAAAAGGATCCGAATAATATCAGATTTGCAACAAAATGAATACCGTAGACGACAAAGGTACCATTGGCCTTGAAATAGCTGACCCTAAAATAGGTTGGATATATAAGTTGAAAAAGGTCTAGTAATGGAATTACGCCGACTGAATTTGCAGGCTGATGGAACACTAGACGAGCTACGACGCCGACTAGTAGCATACCTGAGAGTTGAACCACCGAAAGATCAACCTGCACCCTCCGCAACACCGGGAACGTTGACCAGACCGCCACAACCGCCGTTTGACTTTGATCGTCTGGATCAAATCAGAAAACTAAACATTAAGTTTGATGGAAAAGTCGATCCAGTCTCATTTCTAGAGAGACTTGAATAATTACAAGAGGAATATGGCATAACCGAAAAGCAGCTGTTGAGAACGCTGCCGGGTTTACTTCAAGACAAAGCAAATCCATGGTATATGAACTATAAGAGCCAATGGAAAAATTTCTATGATTTCCTTGAAACATACCAGAACCGTCAGACCACCGACAAAGATTTCATTTTGGACATGCAGACCATGATACGACGCCATGGAGGTTTCTCTAGAAAAAGAGAACTAACGTGCATTTATCGACGGCTAAGACAAGAATACAGACAGCATATTCGCAGAAATGCTATTAGCAATGTAATCGAATTATTACAACAGGCCTACGAGTTTGAACAAATCCAACGGGATATGGATAAGTCCTATAAACTGAATAAAAATGTTCAGCCAATTGCAATGTCCAGAACTACCGCTCCTGCTGTATCGCGTATCACTGAAGTACCAGGACGTGATACAAGCACACAAGATTTAATTGCCGACAAATATCGAAACTGTGGACGACAGGGAGTTCAATCGCGACATTGCCGATGTGCCGAATACCAGGAAAACTCCCGAAGAACTGGGCCACGAGCAAGGCAAATCAATTCTCGATTAGAGAGTTCCAACCGAAGCCACAATTCCGATTTTTACCCCATTAATGCCACCGACACCGTCTGTGTGGATAACCGGCTACGTGAAGTAATAACCATAGGCGACAGAAGTTATTTTGCGTTGGTCGATACAAGATCAGTTCGATCCTATATTAGCCAGAAAGTTGCTACTTACTGCCAGTGCAGGGGAATCCAGAAGTTACCGTTGAAATAGCAGACAAAGGCTGAGCGTGTATTGAAATCACCGAAGAGAGTACATTTATTGGAAAAAGAGGTTTTCTTTTCTAATCAAGACCCCTGGTGTACACTTTTCTCCACTGCTGTTACCCGGACGGCGACTTTTTGTGGGACATCGGGGTCTCACCTAGAAAGATCGTCACAAAGTAGTGGAGTAAAAAATACCAGCAAAGAATGTCCCCCTTTAATCTAAAATCGACGGGCGCTTTTCTACAATCTTGATGCAGTTCCTGAAAATGGTTTTGTTTCGTTTTCATTTGGCCACCCTGTATTTAAAAATTCTATAATTCACTGTGTTTGTTTACTTCTTATTTGACATTTCGCCATATTGTCTTCCTTTCTTCCTAGCCGACTTGAGTTAAGCATTCTGCGCGGCGCAGTGCCGCACGATTGCACGTTGTCTTTTCTAAATAGGAAATTCTAAATTATGCCATTTTCTACTTTTAGATTACTTAATTTACACTTAGAACATAGTATTATGCATTTTTCTATCGATATTATTTAATAAACATAGTATTAAATGTTAATTTTTAGTTTACTAGTAGGTATCCCTATTGGTCAGCTCGGAAATCTCTGAACCAATCAGAGAGTAGTTCAGTTTTAGTGGGGGCAGTCTTTCTTACGGGATTTCGTGTAGACAAGGAGACAAGGGAAAAGTTGCATGGTGCAAAAGTTGTCGCTATAAATTGTCGGTTTTCACAAACATCTCGTTGAGGATTTTATTATCGGGCAACTTAAATGAATACTGGGGATCTGTAGTATTGGCCAATTGGTATATTTTTGGTGCAGAGGCCCAAGTATATGCTTCTTTCTGTGGAAAGGATTAGTGTAGCACGACGTGGATGTATCCCGACCATCAGTGTAGCCCCATTGCAGGTGTTAACCATTACAGCATACATTAGTGTTAACAAAGAACTCCTAATTAATTAGGGTGTGTCTCCATTTCTTCTATTTGTCCTTGGTATTTATTCATTTATTTCTTAGAGAAGTATTTAATGAGTAGTCTTAATTACACTTAGGTTTATTAGTGATAGTTATTTTTATTCAATGTGCCCACCCTTTATTATATACCTTTTCTTTTGTATACTTATAGGGTTCACGTCTTCCTTCTAGTTCACGTTCTTGTCCTAGTTCTGGTTTGAATTTGAAACTTTGAATCAGATTGGACAATTGATAAAGTTCTTAGTACTCCACGTGAAGTGGCACGATACCGTGTAAGGCCTGTGGAGATCTTCTTCGAGAGGTCCCCGTGTTGCCGCCATTCCCCTGACTTGGGTTTACCTTGGGAAATATTTGGTGTTCCTACGTTGTTCATATGCAGTGAAATCCGTCCATTTCTTCCGCTGTGGAGCTGCAGGCTCAACGTTATACTACTCCAGCCATGTCCTGGGTTCCATGGGAACGCTTACGTAACCATCGTAGACGGCTGTAGGACGCACGCAAGTTACCACAACCTTTTTCTTTTAGTTCATTTTTACATATGCTTCAAGACATCGCTGGTAAATTCAGTGGACAGATAAATTAACTTAACCGAGTATTATTATTAATTGGCCTGATATATAAATAATATTAGATATAATTTACTATTTTAATTTAGTTTGAATTTTCTTTTGGCTTATAATGTAAGGATCTTAGAGCTTATTGTAGCACAGTTAATTTAATTTACTTTGCTTGCCTTGCATCAGTGCATTTACTTGCATTCACTTTACTTACTTAAAGTAGTACATTTATTAGTATTTTTTTTGTATTTTGGCTGGGTAAATTTTAGGTAGCTTGATTGTGATTAACATTTTTTTACATAATATTCCTAGTTGTAAAAACAAATTAAGGAGCGATTTACCCCTTTTATCGCGGAAAAATATATGCTTATTTCGTTTTACGGTTAAGCGGTTGCGCCTGAACTCAAGCGACGCTATCGTCGACTTACTTTCTTCCCTCTTACGTTGCTATTATCTATGCATGCGCTATTTTATCGCCCTTAATTTAGCATATTTTACTAATATCCTCAGAATTGTTTAAGTAAGGAATCCATTAGGGTGAATAAACAGACCTTAGTATGTTACTTTTTTTCTTTTGATAATCTCGGTTGACAATTTCCCGTTATTATTGGTACCGGCACTGGGGTTGATTGGCGGGTGATAAGAATTTGTATGGCGCCTTTTCCAACTTTATTTATTATTTTTTATTACTTTATATGTGTAACATAGAGTAGGTATATTCTGAATCATATCTTAAGAACCACCTCATCTCCGCTGGGTCTAGTCAGTCACCCTACTGTACACTGACAGCAGTGGTGGACGATCTGTACACCAGAGTAAGATTTAAAGGTCGCAATGTAGGTATACTTTAATTTTACTTGCCTAGAAAATAAAAACCAATAGTTGCTATTATTATATAGGTATTTACTCTCCCCTACTGCACAGTAGATTCTACATTCATTTATTATTTAAAATCACTTTCCAAGGGTTATTTGCTTAAAATCTGTGCGTAAAATTTATAAGAAAAATACTCTTGCACTTAATTTATTTTTTATAAAAGTTACTTTTAATTTGACATTGGATGCAACATGGCGGATGGGCGCGGTCTAGTCGCTATTGTCGCCACTGTCTTGTATAAAGCCATTGTAAGCTTGCCTACTGTTAAATAACTGCCTTCAACAGTAAATGTTTGAATACTCACCATCTTTTGATAGCATGAAATCTCTTCCACACTGGTACTTATTATTAATGCCAAATGTGTATACGTGTCCTTTATTTGTCAACACCATTCCATGTGCTTTACCCAGAACTACCTGAACTATAACTGTTCCTTTTAAACTAGTCACTATTCCTGAAAGTAAAAAAAAAACCGGTAGTTATTTTTTAATGTATAAAATGTAACAATTTAAATGACCAGAAATTATTCTACGGCATTATGAAATCATTTAGAAGGTGTATGTCACAAATTACAGAATTACAGAAGAAAGATAAAAACAGAAAATAACGAAATTAATAGGATTTTATGGAATTAATACAAGCTAAAGATAATATTAATATAGAGGGGTCTGTGAGCAAGTCACAAATGAAGGGATTACGAGGTATAATATGGTCGCGTTTGGGAGATGGCTATGATGGTGATGACGATGACACTAACGATAACGATGACGATGACGATGACGATAACGGAGGGGATGGTGAACGGTAACGGACTAGGTGAAAACGGGGACGGGTACATTAAAAAAAACCACTTGTTCTCAGACTTTCCCTGGCTGTTTCAACTACCCTTTTGGATTGGTAACACATGACACTTGTTGTATACTACTGAAAGTACAGATGATGATAGAAACAATAAGATTTACAATAAAAAATGCTATTACATAAACTAACTACATCGAAAACTTTCTACCTGAGGCAGATATGGTTCTATAATTTTAGGATCCATTCAATCAACGTAGAAAAGTATTCTATTTTACTTTATCAGAAGATATTTTGGTAGATGTTCCCGAGAAGTGACTATTCACTTTTATTGAAAATAATGAATAATTGATCAAACATAAAGACCATTGAATTGTTTGGAGCGATTCCTATGCCAGACAAAATAAAAATTATTTATCTCTATCAGTAGTTTATATTAAAATGAATATTTTTGTCATTGATCATAAGTTCCCTGAAATTAGGCACAGGTTTAGATCGAAACTTTAGCAGAATCGAACAAGTCCTGAGGAATCATGGAATAATCTCTTACCAATATCGCTATTTAATAAGAGAAGCCTCAAAGGACAATCATGTAACAGATATAACAAACCATTTTCGAGATTTGTCTAATTTACAAAATAAAATTAAAGTTGTGCAATACAGAAAATTATACAAAATGAAAACATGTTTATTAGAGTCAGCATCATGTGGATTAAAGTGGATGAGAGCAAATGATCCTAATATTTTAGTTAAAGTTAGTGAGAAAGCTAAAATAGAAAAAAAAAAAGAAAGCAGAACACGGTAGATTGTTTACTCTAAATAAAACCCTTTACCTTTTACTCTAAATAAAAAATCTAGGTCCACTTCGCTTAACTTTAATTATATCAAAACTATGTTTTTCTGGCATAACACCTTGATTCATGTTTTCACTTATTATTACCTGTTGCAGGATCTGTATGAGCTGTATCTTTACCAAACAAAATGAGTTCACCATTTGAATTGATTAATGCTGTCGTTCCATTATTACATGCACCACCCACAATATGATGATCCTCTATTTTGATCATTTTTTTTGGCTTTACAGGCTTCACCTGCCTTCTAACTTTACTTTGATCCCCATCTTCACCTCTCCGAGCAGTACCTAAAAAGGTAAAGCAAAAATCAATTTATTTTCTTCATACTGTTTAATCCTCCCTAAGTATTCAGCCAAGTGGATTCTGCTCTCCCTATTCCAGTGGTGAAAACAAAGTAATGTGAGTTGAAATATTTCAGTATGTTTCAGGACAGCCAGGATCAAGAAACGAAAATGACGACACACACACACACGCACACGCACACGCGCGCGCGCGCGCGCCCACACACACACACACACACACACACACACACACACACACACACACACACACACACACACACACACACACACACACACACACACACACACACACACACACACACACACACACACACACACACACACACACACACACACACACACACACACACACACACACACACACACACACACACACACACACACACACACACACACACACACACACACACACACACACACACACACACACACACACACACACACACACACACACACACACACACACACACACACACACACACACACACACACACACACACACACACACACACACACACACACACACACACACACACACACACACACACACACACACACACACACACACACACACACACACACANACACGCACACACGCACACACGCACACACGCACACACGCACACACGCACACACGCACACACGCACACACGCACACACACACACACACACACACACAGTTACCCGTACAGTTAGTTAACATTATGGTTTCTTTGATTCCAGAAAAGGTGGAAATAATTGCACTCTTTTATGAAAATAATCAGTGTGCTAATAGGACAGCAGAAGTCTTTAATCAGCAATACTTGGATATACATGTTCACGGGAAGTACATTTTGGAGTTAGTTCATGAAGATGACTTTGACCGCCGACTACAATTTTGTAAAATAATGAACGAAATTTGTGAAATAATGAACGAGCTATTAATAGTCTTGATTTTATTGTCGTTATTAGTCCGATTCTAATCCAAGGATATGAGAATCATACACAACACCCGGAAAAATTAAATGTATGGGCTGAAATTTTTGGTGACAGTATTGTTGGTCCTTTTTTCTCTCCCTGGGGATGTACCTGGATTTGTTGGAGAACATTTATCCAGCGTTACAAACATTATAGAGAATAATGAGAATTATCTCGAAGACCAGTTGATATTCTAAGAGGATGCAGCTCCTCCACACTACGTCCTGCTTGTTTGGCAGTATCTTGATCGTAGGTTTTCGAATCAGTGGATTGGGAGAAGATGCACCATAGAATGACCTGCACGATGGCCGAATTTGTCTCATTTGTACTTTTTCTTGTGAGACCACTGAAAGTGCAAAATTTATTTCACTCCACCTACTTCCCTTTAATATCTACTCCAACGCATTGTCAACGAATGCCGCCAAGTTACTCCAGAAATGTTACAAAATGTGCGTGAACGTTGTATGGAGACTGGAGGTTATTAATTTGAACACTTAATTGGATGACATTGAAGTAAGTTGCAAACAAATTTGTAAAAGGTAGGTTATTTATTAACTCCGAAACTAATCAGTGAGTTATAAGAACAATGAGGCACAGTGGACAAAAATGGAAATAATTCGAGCCACGCGGCAGGTTAGATGTATAGCAATATTCCTGATTTAAAAAGAAGCCTTGACAAACTACATATTTTCAGCACTTTCAACATAAAATATATCACTTTCGAATGTGATTAAAGAAACATTTATTACTAACTTTTCCTATTTTGTTAATACAATTTGAACCGTAATAACATCCTTAGGACTGATTTGCTATAAGTTCATATGAAAAATTCTATTCTTCATATTTTCTTATGTAGAACCACCTCGAAAATTATTCGAACGGCATTTTCGGACAGCCTATATACAGTTGAGCCTTTGGATCCTTACATTCACGTCATCAACATGCGTCGGTATAAAAAACAAACGTTCAGTTATAGATTAACGTAAATTAGCTAATGATAGAAAAAGACATGCAATCGCCTTCAAGAGTTGTGTGACTGACACTAATTTCGACAGTGATTATTAATTGTGTATGAGGAATAAGAAAGAGACTAACATATTGTAATTTGTTGTGCGCTTAAACTGTAGACATATATTTGACTACCGTCGTTTTTTGCATTCTGTGCTCTTACAAATGTGTTTTCTGTGAGTTCCGTAGTTGTTTCAGCAAGCAATCTATTCCTTACTATTTTCTAAATTCAGTAATTCATAAATACTGGCACTGATTTGAACTCGGTTTTTAATCTTAGTTCATACGATTATGCTTGATGACGTGAATCTAAAGATCCAATGGCTCAACTGTATGTATATAGGCCTAGGCTCACGATCACGAATGTCTAGGCAAGTCAAGCAATTAAGAATTAGTTGCTCATCAGTGAGTATATGATTATGATTATTATCACTAAATAATAATATCGAATTACGTCTACTACTACCGCTACCGCTACCGCTACCGCTACCGCTACCGCTACCGCTACCGCTGCCGCTACCGCTACCGCTACCGCTACTGCTACTGCTACTGCTACTGCTACTGCTACTGCTACTGCTACTGCTACTGCTACTGCTACCGCTACTGCTACTGCTAC